AATCTTCTAAAATATATTTCATATATATATATATATATATATATATATATGTAAATAATCTTACTGTATGACAACTATTGGCTCATCTGAGGCTGTTTTTATTAGAGAAATAGTGAAATGTCACTGCTGTATGGTGATGAACCTCTCTGGACGAATGGAAGAGAAAGCGTAATGAAGAGCTGGTGTTTGGCTCCTCATGAGAGACGCTCTGTCAGTCTGATCCATCTTGACATGCCGGCGATATTTCATTCAGTGTCATCTCTGGGCTCTTTCTAGAGCAGCTCAACATGAAAGTCAAATCAAGTTTAATTATCCAGCCGCAGTCCGAGTAAACAGCAGAGTGGAGAATATGACTAGAGAAACCTTCACATGTAATTGGTGATGGCTTGAAAATCCAGCCACAAGTGAAAGAATCCAGTCAGAGATGAAATACGGAGGTAATTATGCTAAAAAGTTTATTATACTGGAAAAAGAAAAACTCTGAATCTCTGAATTTCTTTTTTCCCCATCTGTCATGCGAATTATGTTGTCTTCCTGCTATAGTGTAGTTATTAATATTCTGAATTTATTTGAATATATTGTATTATATGTTATATTTTTCATTTTAGTTAGTTTTAGTAATTCAGTTGTGTTTTGTAAATTTGTATTTATTTATTTTTTTTACATATTTTTACATAGATCTATTAATTATTATTTAATTCGTTATTTTAGTAAATCAAGTAAAACTAAATGAAAATCACAAGTATTGCTTTGACAACTAGCTTAAATAATTGTTTGTATATTTTGAAAATTGTATTCCAGTTACCGTTTATTTAAGTAATGAAAATTAGTATTATTTCATATGGTAGTATTATGCTTTTTATCATTATTCGTTATTATTATATATATATATATTATACTTTTTGTTTTTGCTATGTTTGTTTATTATACTTTGTTTATTTTATTTTAAGTTATTTTAATACATCAAGTTAAACTAAAGGAAAATCAAACATTGCCTTGGAAACTAGCTGAAATAAAATGTTTCAAGTTGCATTTTTACCTTTTCAAGTTTAGTTTCTGACTTTTTAAAATAAACCCAATTGCTCTGTACATTGCATCTAGAGGCAAGGTCAGAAACGGCTCTAAAATAAAATCTATATCCCCATCTTAAGCATCCCGCAGCTACTGTGAAGCACCTTTACTGATGTGTTTTGCAGAAAAATATTATTTTGATTTGATACGAAGGAGATTTATAAGCTTACCTACTTTGCACTGACTATTTGCATCCAAGAGATTCACGCATGTCATGCATAATATTACGTTAATGCTGATATGACTGATGGGATTTTGAGTAGAGCACAAATGTGACGCACACTAGGGGCTGCACAGTTTGAAGACTATAAACTGTAGAATTGACGAGCTGAATTTTATGGGTTCCCAGCAGCGTTTGCAGCAGTCTGTGGAAGCCTGTCTCTGTCAGGGCCGTAACCATCATAGACACTGAGGGGGAAGTTTCCCACAATAAATAGAAATGGCCAAACTGCCCCTCCAGTGTTTGAAAATCTTGCACTGATTTGCTGCATTTTGTTATGCAGTGCTCTGTTTGTTATAGGATGACAAAAAGATTTAAAAGTCACATTTTTAGGCTGATCTGCCTCAGCAGTCTAACAGCGCTCATCAATGTCAGAATGACTGAGACAGCCAATCAGATCAAAGTAGGCGGGGCTTACTGTCAGCATGAAGTGTCAGTTTAACGTTGAAAGAGAGTGAGATGGAAGTAATGAAACATTTAATATTTGACATCTGTTTTAAAACAGAATTGTTAAACAGCTGTCAGTAATACGCACTGATGCAAACCGATCAATTTTTTTTATCTCAAATTCACCATTTTAAATGGAAAATATTTTTTAATTTTTTTTTTACCAGATTCATGTAATTCCTGACTGAATGTGACGAGATGAGAAAAGTTTTGCATTTTCGACATATTTTTTTGTTAATAATTCAAAATGATTACTTCCCAACTATATGGTTTCTGCCACAGGAAAAAAATTAACTAAAAAATGTAATTACAACTTTTTACAGAGTTTACTTATTATTTTTATTTGCAATTCTGAATATGTCACAATTCAGACTTTTTTTTTTTTACCTCGCAATTCTGATATAAACTGTGGTATAAATTCTGAGAAGACATTTTTGACATAAATTTGGTATATAAAAAAGATATAAAAAGTTGGAATTGTCGCATTTATTCCATTGCAGAAATAACATTTTTTTTAATTGAATTGCAAGATGTATACTCATAATTTTAAGAAAAAAAGTCACAATTGCAACAAAAAGTCAGAATTCTGAGTTTAATATCTCATAGTTGTTTATCTTGAAATTCTGAATTCTCTTTTTTTTTCAGAATTGCGAGAAACAAAAATAAAATTGTGAAATAAGAAGTTGCAATTACCTTTTTTTTAGTTTTTTAAATTCCATGGTAGGGAAAAAAATGAATTACGAGATATAAACTTCTGAGAAAATAAGTAACAGCTGCAACAAAAAGTCAGAATTCTGAGTTTATGTCTGAGTTTATGTGAATGGTTTCAGAATTCAGAGAAAAAAGTCAGAATTGTGAGAAAAACATTTCTTCTGTTTATATCTTGCAATTCTGTTTTTCTATCCTTGCTTCTGCTAGAACAAAAAATTCCACACACACATATAGATAGATAGATAGATAGATAGATAGATAGATAGATAGATAGATAGATAGATAGATAGATAGATAGATAGATAGATAGATAGATAGATAGATAGATAGATAGATAGATAGATAGATAGATAGATTATACTATATATAATATGTATGAGAAATATATAAATTCAGAATTATGAGATGTAAACTCAAAATTGTGAGAACAAGGTCAGATATCTGAGATAAAAATTTTGCAATTACTACCAATTTATTTATTTTTTAAATCTGTGGCTGAAATGTGCTTGCATAGCTTTTGAAAGCTAGCGATGCATTTACAGTGTTCAAACGTTCATCTGCTTTAGACTTTCATCATCTTTTTCCTTCTTCTGGGAATATGCATGGAAAATGTCATGCATTTATGTAAGGCAACTGTAATCCTCATTGATTTGTAAAATACAGCAGGATCAGGTCTAGCCGGAGTTATTATCAGACGGAGTCGAGCGCCGTGGATGCTTTTGAATCGCAGGCCGTGGTTGTTAAGGGGCTGCTGGCGCTGTGATCAAAGGGCACTAAAACGAGATGTTTCTGCTCTGGCCTCTCACTCTCTCCCTCTCATTTATTCCGTCCAGGCCCCGTCGTCGCCCTCCTCACCTTCGGCTAATGAACCAAAGTATGAGAAGCGCTGGCTGGATGCCGTCAGCCTCCCTCTGTTCATGGCTCGAATCTCTCGACGCAAAGCTGCAACCGACAAATTAAGGTACGGTAATCCGCCGTGATGCCGCACGAGCTGCAAGGTTTGCCCAGTGTTGGTTTTGCAAGTCTTTTTCATTTAGGTGAGAGGATGTTAAATCCAATATCTATGCAGCGGCATGCCGTGTCTGGAAAGGTCAGCAATGCAGCAGCCACGGGTCGAGAAAAAGTGGCTCTAACTTTAGTCGTCTGCCATTGAGAGCAGAATTATATCGCATCACATCAGCGGAGAAGAGATATATAAATATCCACTTTAAAACTCAAAGCTTGTGATTGCAGCAGGTGGAATCAGATCCTTAATTAGGCAGAATGCATAATCTGAATATATTTCTATGTGCTTCGGGCTCGACTCCAGGTGGAGTTTCAGGTCTGACAACTTTGATTTTAACCTTACTGTACATGCCTTCTGTCGTCTGAGTTTTTTAGTCTAATTGTACAAACGTCCAGCTTCAGCTGGTGCTTCATGTGTCTTGTTGACAAATCTTTGCTGATTTTGATCAAGTAAAGGTCAGAATAACTGCAGTAATATCTCCAGATGAACTCTTACTGGACTGAAGCAGCTCAGCTTTACTTGATTCTCCATCAGTCATGTTTTAGAGTCTCAAATCTGATCCTCAGGATCTTTTGGGGAGCGTTTGTTTCCAGAAGCTTTACTTTCACTGTTCCTCAGCGGAGGAATGATCTTCACAAGCCTCCAGAACATCTCACATCTTCTGAGGAGCCTTTATTTCTTCATCTCTCAATCAGCATTGGATTGCATTGCATTATATGTTTGGATCATTTCAATCTCATCTTACGAAGACATATTGGAGACATGAGTGACCACTGATATTTAGATCAGTTTATGTCAGTATCTGCTCTACTGTTATAAAGATCTTATTGATCTACATTACAAGCAGCAGAATATCATCCCTTTTTGTCATATAAATATCAGAATCTGCACCAAATTGCATATTTTTTAAGTTTTTAAATAAAATTTAGCTGTTTTTCCTCCATATTTTCACTATATCAGACTATATGAGCCATAAAAGCCTGATGGATCAAATATGATACAGAACATAAATACATATGCAAACTTTTTGAAAGTATATTTAAACATTTTTCATAATACGAGAGGAGAATAAATGGGGAAAACATGCCACTGATGCATATCTTCCATTCTAAATTATATTTTTATTTTAAAATATGTTGTTTTACTTTTGCATTTAAATATAAAAAAACAATAGTATTGATTTTTATTTAAAAAAAAATTAATTATTCACATTTTTGTTTTATGTTTTATTATTGTTTTTTAAATTTATTTAATGCATTTTAATATAACAATTTAATTTAATGCAATATCTATTTACTTTTGGCCAACATCCTTCATTCATGTTTGATATATCTTCTAATTTATGTTTTTGTTTTATTTTTATTTTTTGCATTGAAATGTAAAAAAACCCCAAAAAAACAATTTGCTTAAATAATTTATTTAATAAATGAATTTAAAATAATTAAAAAATATATATATTAAAAATAATTATAAAATATTTTTTTTTTTACAATTTAATGCATTTTAATGTAAAATAATTGGATATAATGCAGCAACATTTACTTTTGACCCACGGCCCTCAATCAAGTGCATTAAAAAGTTTGGGCACTTCTGTTCCCTTTCAGTCAGTCACGTGACTGACGAATTGAGATCTCACCCGAGAGCCCAATCACCTTCGAGTGTTAACTAAACAAGCCAATGACAGTTGGCGTGCGTGTTTCGCGCGGGTATAAAAGGAGAGTGCGTGCAAACGCACATCAGCTTTTCGCTTCGGAGCCGAGCCATCTACAGGACGAGTCTCCGCGAGTGTTCGAGAGAAACAGCTGGTGTTGGTGTGACGGCGTATCAGCGGGTGTTGCCATCCAGGCTGCTGAAACCTCGGCGGGCTGCAGCTTCCATTCTGCGGTCTCGCCGCGACCTCCCCTGGGCACTTCAGCGCTCTCTCTAAAAGAGTGTGTTTCCTTCTAAAAGAGCAATTTCCAAAAGAGCTTCACAAGCGACGGGCGTCTTTTTAAAGATGACTTCCCGCTCGTGCGTTTCTGGATGTGGTCGTTTCCTGCCTCCATCTGATGGTCATGAGTCATGTTCTCAGTGCGGGAGCATGACCATCGCGACGTTGCAGTCAGATCCAGAGCTGACCGCTATGCTTTCCCGGGCCGCCGAGAGTGTCGGGCTGCACTGGAGGCCTCCGCCTTCTCCCGAACGCTCGAGGCTGGACGATTGGTTTCTGGGGGCGCAGGCCGGGCGTCGGCAGCCGCCTCCGGTTCCATTCTTCCCGGAAGTGCATGAGGAGGTTCCTCCGGTTCCATTCTTCCCTTTCTCTGCCCGAAACAGACTTGGTGCCTCCTCCGTCCTCACCACCCTCGATGGGGGGGCGGCCCAATGGTATGTGGACATCCCTCCGGTCGAGCACGCTAATGCCATGCAGCTCTGCCCGCAAAGCGCCACCGCCTGGAGAGGTAGTCCACGCCTTCCGTCCAGGGCCTGTAAATTCTCGTCTGCTCTGACAGCTAAGGCATACAGTGCTGCAGGACAGGCCGCTTCCGCCCTGCACGCCATGGCCCTCCTGCAAGTCCGGAGCGCCACCTATGGCTGACCTTGGCGGATATGAGGGAGGCTGACAAGCATCGCTTCCTGGACTCCCCGATCTCCCAGGCCGGCCTATTCAGCGAAGCGGTGGATGGCTTGCCCAACAGTTCTCCGCCGCGCAGAAGCAGACGGAGGCGTTTCGACACATCCTGCCCCGGCGGTCTGCTGCTGTCTGCACCCCACCGCCGGCTGCAGCCCCTCTGTCTGCTCGTTGCCGAGGGCGCCCTCCTGCGGCCTCCACCTCCGCTCCGGCATGGCCACAACAGCAGCCTTCACAACGGCCGCAGCGTGGAGCTGGCCGCAGGAAACCGGCGCAGCCCGCCTCCGCCCCTGCCAAGCCCGTGAAGCGCCAGAGCAGGTGGCGTCCCTGAGACGGGCGACCCGGAGCTCTTGGATCCTGCTCTTCAGGAGATGGTGACTGCACCACTCCTTCCCCCGGAGGAGGGCCGGGTGGAGAATCTTATGTTTCCGTTTGTTTGTGTTCGGTACCCAAAACTTCAATAAAAGAGCAGTTTCCTTTGACTCCGGGTCCCAAGAGGGCGAGGATGGCAGTGCACGAGACCCAGTCTCCACACGGCCGGCCCCCTCTCCCTTCGCTAATGGGCAGCAGGGTTCAGTTCAAGGACGCTACGCCTCCTCACGAGCCCCCTGCCCAGCAGTGGAGCCAGGTAAGTCGCGCGCTGCGCACTCAGACCCCACCCTGGGACGCACGGCCTCCCAGGTTGGGTCCCTGTGTTCCAGTTGTGCGCAGTTGAGCGCAGTTGTGCGAACACAGGGATATGGTGCTCAGTCACCTCAGCCGATTGGGGCTTCGGGTCAACTGGGAAAAGAGCAAACTCTCCCCGGTGCAAAGGATCTCTTTTCTCGGCATGGAGCTGGACTCGGTCAACCTCTGAGCACGTCTCTCAGTAGAGCGTGCGCAGTCGATGCTGAACTGCCTGGGGTCCTTCCAGTGCAAGACGGCGGTTCCACTGAAACAATTTTTAAAGGCTCTTGGGGAATATGGCATCCGCAGCCGCTGTCACACCGCTCGGGTTGCTTTATATGAGACTGCTTCAGCGTTGCCTTCACGACCGGGTCCCGAGATGGGCATGGTGACACGGCACTTACCGCGTTTCTGTTACCCCGTTCTGCCGTCAGACCCTCAGCCCGTGGGCAGATCTTGCCTTTCTTCGGACAGGAGTATCCCTTGGGCAAGTATCCAGGCATGTTGTTGTGTCAACAGATGCCTCTGCCAGGGGCTGGGGTGCCATGTGCAATGGGAATGCAGTTGCGGGTCTCTGGTTGGGGCCCCGACTGCAGTGGCATATCAACTGCCTCGAGTTGCAAGCAGTATGGCTGGCTCTGCGCCGCTTCAAATCGCTGCTACACGACAAGCATGTACTGGTCCGTACAGACAGCACTGTGACCGTTGCGTACATCAACCACCAGGGCGGTCTACACTCTCGTCGCATGTCGCAACTCGCCCGACATCTCCTCTGGAGTCAGAAGCATCTGAGGTTGCTTCGCGCCGTTCACATCCCAGGCGAGCTCAATCGTGCAGCCGACGAGCTCTCACGTCAGCCCGCCCTTCAGGGAGAATGGCGACTCCACCCCGAGACATTCCAGCTGATTTGGAGGCGCTTTGGGGACGCTCAGGTAGACCTGTTTGCCTCCCCGACACGTCGTCCCGCTGGGAAGACCCCCGTAGATGCCCGATCGCAGTCGTGCTTTCTTTCCTGCAGGATGGGTTGGAGCGAAGGCTGTCTCCCTCCACCCTGAAAGTGTATCTTGCCGCCATTGCCGTGCATCACGATGCAGTAGATGTCTTTGGGGAAGCACGACTTGGTCATCAGGTTTCTCAGAGGGGCAAGGAGGTTAAATCCTCCGCGCCCTCA